AAAGAACTTTAAAAGATTTTAAGGAAACTATCAAAAATGTAGACTTAATTATACATTTTTAATTTTTTTGCATAATTTCTTTTTGAATTTTTAAAAAAATGTTGTATCTTTGACTACAAAGTTAAGTCTTTCCTTGCTGTAAGTTTTAATCAAAGAAAAACTTTTGTTAATATTTCTCAGACATCTTGGCCTGTTTGTAGATTAGTTATCCAGCATCACTAGATGGAAAGGCACCTGCCGTAATAAGCTCTTTCAATGCCCCAAAGAGCGGGTCGAAAGGTGGGTGGTGGGAAAGTGCAGGCTTGCAGCACCTTGTTGCCATTCGGCATTGTGCTCACATGAAGGACTCTGCTGATGCTGCTGCTGCTGCTGCTGCTGTTGCTGCTACTACTGCGGCAGCTGCGCCAGAATCCACGAAAAGTCGATGGCCACAAAGGATGTTTTGTTTGCTGTAAATGCCCACTGTGCGGCATCATGCACACACACGTTTCCACCTTAAATTTCCAGCTAATGTACTCACGTGCAAACACCCACACATGCACACTCACACACACACACACACCGATGCAGGGTACGAGTAAACAGAAAGTGCAATGCAAGCCACTAAAAAGTCCAATGCCGCCGGCATGCATTTTGTATTGCATACTTTTCTGCGCCGTGACCAAAAGAAAAAGAAAATTGCCGGAGAATGGAGGAAAAATGGGTGGGTGGGAATGGGAAGCGGGTGGTGGTTGTGGGCCGGAGAAAATGCAGTGGAAAATATTGTGCAAAGGGCGCGGTCAGAAGTTGACAACGACAACAGAGCCAACAATGAGGCATTTTTAATGTGACCATTAAACAATGGCAACGAGGACAATGCACACACACACACACATACACATTCAAGTCAAAGAGCGGGACAGAAACACATTGACTGCAGTGGACGACGAAAACAAAAAGTTTACCCAACAGGCAAAATTGTCAAAGGAAAGACACAATTTTCGGGTTTTAATTCAAAGTATTAATAGGAGAAAGATATTAAAACACGAATTCCCTAAGAAAAAGTGAGAAAAGCTTAAAAACACTCTTATCTTTGGTATAAATTATACATAGAACTAATTTTAAAATCTGAAAGCAATATGTTCTTAACATTAACAGCTCTTTTTCTACCTAAAGAAATCATGTCTTATATTATAACTCCTTAAGAGGTCCTTAATTACAAAATAACCGATTTAATTGGCAATCTACAATCCTTGAAATGCAATCAACTGGCTCATTGGGATATCCGCAACCAGCCGAAGTTTCCCAAGACGGTGAATGAATGGTATGTATGTATGTGTATGGGCGGAAAGAAAAGGCAGTCTCCGCATTCAGCTGCTGTCAGTCGCGCGCGAAAACTTTTCAATACAAAGTATGAAGCCCATGACGCTACTAAAAGGAGACATTGAAGAATGCGACAGCCCCGATGAGGCGACAGAACAGTGGCAGTGCAACAGAAGGAGGGCCCCGGGAGCAGGCCAAGAGCTATAAGCCAAGCAGTGAGCCACGGTAAGGACATTTGGTCGAGCCATATATACAACTGAATGAACCGCAACAAAGGCACTCAACTGACTCCGATTGCGACGCCGGCAACTAGTACGGCTACAAGACTCCGTCAATGACTATACAGATGGAAAAATATGGCAGTAAAGTAACTACAAAGCTGTAAAATATTTATTTTATCATTAAAAAATAAAAACCGAATTTATAAGGGCCAGATTTTTCTCTCTTAAATCAATCTACGCGAAACTTGTAGTTATCTTAGGAATGTTTTTAAGGTGACTACTCTTTAGGGCTTAGAAATATCATTAATTGATGACCAATTTCTTTAATATTTTCTCCCTGTGTAGAAGGTCTACGACAGCGGCTCGGTCTTTTTCTTGCCACTCAGCCATACTTCCACCCATCTACTTCCACGTTCCCATAGACGCTGTTGCATTTGGCCATGGACAAAACCGCAAGCAGGGCGAGCATAACAAGAGTTCTTTGAATGGCAAGGAAAGGAATCGAGTTGAGGGAGGTGCCATATAGAAGGGGGCAGTCGGACGGAGTCGGGTGGCTGACCAGGCAGCTGCCATGTCAAACTGAATGAATGGATGGGTATATGGTTGGAAGGCAAACTGACCACAAGCAGGCCAACAGCTTGGCTGACTTATGTGTACGCACAGGCACTTTAAAAAAATTGTTTTATAAGCTAAAAGATGTTATTAGTATATGAATTATCTATTTTTTTGATATATTGAAGACTTCTTTGTACATTTTTTAGATTATAACTTTCAGAAACCTTCTGGTCTTATCAGAAAACTAATTGCATTGCTCAAGTGCTCTACATTTTTGCAGTGCTCAAGCACATGCTTTGGCACATAAGAATAGAGAAGTTGAAAAGTGGGAACGGAGGTCCTGCCAACGCATGTCAAGCTGGTCGGCCAAGAAGAAAAGCTCATGTCCTCAAATGTGAATGCGACCAGAATTGTAGTCGTCGTCGTTCCCATTCTCATTCTCATTCTCATTCTCATTCTCATTCTCATTCCTAGCACTTCGTACTCGTGCTCGTCCTCGTCCTCGAACAAAAAGTTTCAATTGTCTCTGGCCGAGTATGTGTGAATGCGATTGTCCAAGTTTCTCATTTGCGGCAAGGGTTTGGATCCGTTTCGGTCTCGTTTCCTGTTGCATGTGGGCACAATTAATTTTTGTTGCGTACATGCAGCATGTGATCGTAAGGATAATGATGATGCAGATGCTGATGATGATGGCCATGCCTTATGCGTCCATATTGTCCAATCCCTGGCCTGCTAAATGCCCCACTTGACCCTTATGCCAGTCGAAACATCTCCGACTCTTTCCTGTTCCGATTTGGAATTTCGGGATGGCCTGCCTGCCTGTCTTTTGTGGCCAGCCAGCCGGGGGCTTTATCTCCATCTCAGATAGTGTCAGCACCAGAAACTTTCGCCATTAATGAGTTATGCAAAGCTCGAATGGAAGCGGGTGTGCACTTAGAGCCACATCCTGGATCTTAGAAATTTAATTCAAACCTGGACATTTCGATTAACCCTATAAAGGAATACTTTCTTAAAAATAGTTGAAGTTACGCATGGGAAAGAAATATGTTAACATTAGGTGTAGTTTATATATGTTTCCAAAAAGTTCTTTAAAAATATTTTTTACTCACTTATTTTACCACAAATGGGTTAAAGCTCGCCTTGCCTTTTTCTACATCTTTTGTCGTTAATAAAGCAAATGACCAAAAAGTTTTCAGCCAGGAAATTAGCATTTGGCAGCATTCGCTTTGAGCCATCCTGCCCACCACAATGCTCCACCATTTCCACAATTTTCCTGGGGAAATGCAAATGGCGGGCCAAAGTGTTACGGTTTCTGAGGCTGTTCTGCTGCTTTTTTTTTTCGCTTTCGCCACCGCGCAGTTGATGGGTAGCCATGATTAGTTTAGGTTGGAGGATCGCAGCCATTCCGTCCGTTCGCGCCACATGCCGCATTCCATGAGCCACATGTTCGCGCTGTTTTGGCATCAAATGTTTTGCACTGGGGGCTGGTGGGGCACTGCTTTTAATATGATTGCAATTCGCGTTGGGGAGGGGTTGCCACCACAGAGGCACTCGCATTCACACGGCTGGATGGTCAACTTCGCGGCCATTGCGGCAATGCACCAATGGCGGTTGCCTCATAGTGGTGCATGCTCTTTTTTTGTGGTTCTTTTTTGATGTCTTATCAAGTGGAGTACTCATTGAGATGTGGAATGTAGAATAGGATATTTATTAGCAATAAATTTTATTATTTTTAATCACTCATTCTTAGTAAATGGTAAAAAAAAATCACTTCTTGAAACAAATCCTTGGATTTTATAAAACAATAATAAAAACTTGACTGTCCTCTTTCACTTTTTATTCGCAATTGCCCGGTATTACATAGAATCGGCTTTTACATACGATTATTTGAGTTGGCTACGATCAATATCGATACTTAACATTTTAACAGCGTTGCCAGATTGGCCACTTTAACACAGAAGATACTTTTAGATGTTAACGACTATTAAACTGCTAGCCGTTACATTTAAAAACTTGTTGATTTACACTTACATATTCATAGCAGAGTTATACTTAATTTTACTTATAGCAATTCACTTAACTTACTACTAATTTAATTCAGAAATACCAAGGAATGTCTTAAGCAAACTTTTAACAATTTAAAAATATTTTTTTTAGATCCCATTTTCCCATTCTTCAGAAAAATTCCTGAAAGCAATCATGAAAAGGCATTCGGGTTCATCTATTTAAATGGAAAGATACTTTCCATTTCCCCTCAGATGATGCGGTGTCTTTAATCGAGAAGAATTGCAAAAGGAAATTACAGCGGCGGTGACAATTGCACACGAATGACATTTCTACTGGCGGCTGGACATTAGTTCCACTTCGTTGGGCCCAAATGGTTTTTGGTTTTTGGCCAGCCAGACGTCATAGTGTCGTCATAGTCCTGTTGGCATTGGACCAGGGTCCTTCCACCTTTCGGTTTCCTTTACTTTGTGGTAATTAATGTACATATGTATGGGTTCCGCTATGAGCGTGTGTGTGTGTGTGAGTGTGTGCTAGCCGGGGCGTCAATTACTTTGGTCCTTGCAGTTGGCCGGTTACAAATTACAGGCTATGAAGGAGCCTCGCCTCGGGGCGAGTCCTTCTTTCGTTTTTTTTTAACTTTATTGGCAAATCAATTAGGTGGCTTCAAATTGTGTTTGGCTGCTGGTCAGCGCTTAATTTATTTGATTTCATTGACGTCGAGCTTTCTTTTAAATGAATGCCACAACTTTTTGATCATTTTTATTTTATCAATATATATAGTGAGTATATGTTATTATTTTTGGCTCTACTGATGCCAGATGTTGTGGCTCTCGGTTCTCTGCGGTCGTCGTTATTGCCAACAATCAGTTATGGATCGCGGTATGGCGGGGTAGTGATAAGGGGGGAGGGGAGCATTTTGTTGGGGGGAATCAGCGTAAAATTTAATTAGCTTTAAGTGTGTTGGTTGCGGTGGTTGTTCAGCCCGTTGTTGTTTGCTACGGTTTCGTAATTTGTTGTTAATTACTTTTTGCAGAGCGGCTTTTTATTGGAAATTAACGCCAGCAGGTTTTCAGGCTTTGTATATATATTCCTATTTGTTTGTGGGTGAATAGGGTGGTGGAGTGGTAGGGGTTTTCTCTACTTAAATTGAAATCAGCCATAAATAGGCATTAAACTTGGTACATAATGATTTTAATGGCGGTTTTCTATATTATGCTGATTACTGTAAATTTTCGGTTTCAATTTGCCCGTTGTTATCGATTTCCCCCTTATCTGTTTTATTTTCATTTTCGTTTTTTCTTTTTTTTTTTGTTTGTCTGTGTCTTTTTTCAATTTGGCTGTGTTTGTGTGGAATTCGAAATAAATTTATCTAATGACTCTGCCATTATTTGCCTTTTGGGCGCGCATTTATTTCATGGCAAATTCAATGCGTTGATTTATGGGATGTTTTCACATTTGCATAATGTTATTAATTTGGCTCAGAGGTTGAATGGCTTAAGACCTAAAGGAGGCGGCAAGAATGGTTATTTAGATATGCACTTTTCTTCAGATTCATTAAAGAACTTTAATAAGAAAAATGTTACCTAATTTTAGGGAAAACTTTAACTTGAGTATTTATCGTTAATTTCATTTTCTATGAATTATTTGTCAAAAAACTGTCATTAAATTCAATTTGCAACTTAAAGTTGTATTAATTAAAAGAAGTTTTATACATTTTTATAACCAAATGATATGAAATGAGTCCCTTGCCAACTGATTGCGCCAAGGAAGCCACACCTGTTCAGGAGGTGATTGAACGGACCCGGGAAAGTTTGAGTGAGATCTTTACCAAGTACCGTCTTAAATTGAGACAAGAGGCTTGTGAAGCGGCAGAGAAGGTTAGAAATCGACACAGCTTTGGCCGCATCATCAGCAGACCAAGTTCTGAATCTATAAAAAAAGGATATGGGTGAGTAAATATATACATAGAAAAGTATATAAAACGATAACTAAAAACCAAATAAACACAAATTAAAAGTAATCACAACCAAACATGTTTTAATATTAATTAAATTCAATTCAGTTTTTCAAATCTTCATTACTAATAATTACTAATAATCCAAATTTAGTTTCTGCAAAACCTTCGCCTGCTCAGAGGTGGCCACTGGTGTCCTTCTATTGATGATCCTGCTGCTGCTTTTATTGGGACTTCACCTGGTCAGGAACTACAATCACACTTTTGCTTACGGATCAGGTGGTTGCCTGTCCACCTTTTTTTGGAACTACGATGAATGCTTAATAATGACCTAAGGTCGTCAAACTGTTCTATTTTGATATTCCCCTTTATAGCTGTTCAATTGTTTGTGGCCAATAAACTGCTGCCAAAACACAAAGTTCCAATTCTGGGTCGAAGGTCACCAATTTAACATTGTCAAAGAGCTAACCACACAGACCAAAATGTGGGGAATACCCCTTGCACCTCTAGCTAATTAGGCCGTTGGCAGTTTGTCGACTTTTTTTTTTCCCCGTCTAAGAGAGGGGAAATGCCAATCATCAAGCTGTTTAAATAATAAATCACTTTAAAATTAGTTTGCCAACTTGGCCAAGTTGAGCGACAGCAAATTAGTGAAAGTTAATTAAAACTATTTAAATTGCAAATTATTTTAACGTTTTTCACACACACACACCGGCACACCAGGCGACCCGGAGACGTGTAAAAAGTTGGAAACGTAATTCACGCATACCATTCAACAAAAAGAGGAACGTATGAGCATGTATATGTATGTATATATGTGTATATGTATATGTGACTTTTCACAAAATGTTTAAATGAGGGAAATTAAAAAGGGGTACACGAGGGCTAACTGTGGAGTATCTGCAAAAAAATGTCAAGTTGCCGGGGATGGATGGGAAAGTCAACCGGTTGAGGCCAAAAAAGAAAAATAAAAAAAAAGAGTAAGCGAACCCAAAGAGGGGGCGTTAGGGCGTGTACGTGTGGCGCAACAATTTGCATATAAAAAGGGTTGTTAGACTTTAAATAGCAGGCCTGGCCTATTATATGCATTAGGCCCCAGATATGGCGGGGCATTAAGATAAGGCACTTACGCCCCAGCTTACCATGCTCCGTATTTCGTATTCCAAAGACCCCCGGTTAACTCCATACAAAACCGTGCGCACAGTCACCTACGCAAAAGTTAATTTATGCGGGCATGTCTGCGCGCTATCCTCTCTCTTTCTAGCCCCAGACCCCTGTCTCTTTTTCGCCGGGGAGTCTGGCTTGTTGAAATTTTAATTAAAGGGAAAATATTTAAGGATGCAGCAGGAGCAGCAGCAGCAGTAGCAGCAGCAGTAGTAGTAGTAGCAGTAGCAAAATAGCAGCACCGGCAGGAAGAAGAATGAGCTGGAAAAAAATATGAGCCAAGCGAAGTTGAATGGAGTCAACGGGGTCGGAGAGTTGCGAAATAACCCGCATACTCTAAAAACTTTTGGCCTTGCAAAGAACTCCGGCATCACCATCACTTGACAAGTACTTGGCTTCCGCCACTGACTTTTGCTTAATTCCTAATGATGGAATCCCGACTCGACTGCATAGCACGTAAACAGAAGCGTACAAAAATAAAACAGGCGAAGCCAAGCCAAAGGTTTTCCTCATAAACGTGAGATAATTATGCTGATGGCAAGATGTGATCCAAATTAGTTATGAGGAAAGAGTTACTTTTTTTTTTTGGTTTATTAAGTTAAACAAGTCAAAGGTATCTTCTTACATCTCTGAAAAGTAAAAGAGGATAAAGAAATTGTATAGAAGTTTTAGCTTTTAAGCACTTTTAACTTAACTTTCATATTTACACGAAAAGATAAAGATATTAGATAAATAATGATTATTCCACTTACCAATTCAGCACACAGTTTACCTTATATATTGACTGAAAAAAATCCAGTCAAATAAATCTATCAAACGAATTCTTGAAAAGTGCAAATCAATCGGGAAGTCTCAAATCACAGCACTATTTAATTAATTAACTTTCAATTACCTTTGCCCAGCTTGCAACTCTTAATTAGTTTATACTTTCCGTATCTTTCGCATTTGCTTTCGTCCAGTCCGAAATTCGAGCACTCTGCCAGCAGTTAACCCTTGGACTTAATGCTCCAATCCTCGTACTGGTATTTCAATTAGCAGCCTAATAGAGGCTGAATGACTTCTGACCCTGCAACGTGCAACAACTGACCGCAAGGCAGGCACGTCGGCAGCCTCCAGTTGGCCAGTCAGCCCGCATCTCTTTTAGGCCGAACGGATTCTTTTTCTTTTTTTTTGTTTTTAGCCAACTCCAGTCAGAAGATCACGGGGCAACAATGGCTAGGAATCAGAATGCTAAGCACTTGAAGAAAATATTTGGAAAATATTTGATCAAAAAATGCGAAAACCGGTTTTTCCCGATTTGAGGCTCGAAATATCAGTATTTTGCCTATAACAAAGCCAAAAATGCTCGGAATTTGGAATGTTATATCTCGTTGTGCTTGGTTTTCAATCTATTTTCAAAATATTGAAGTGCCACTTAAATATGAAGAAAAAAATATTTTTTCAATTTTTCGAAAAAATGATGATGGTACCCCTTACAAAAAAGTGAAATTTCAGAAAAATTTTAATTTTCGAAAGTCAACTTCATACCCAGATAGAAAGTTTTCTGGGGTCGTTAGCTGCAAAAAAACGGATTCCTTTTGTTTGTGGCTCTTAATTTGACAAAGTTATAAGCATAAGACTAGGGAAAAATATCTCAAATTTTACTCAAAAGTCACAATTTTGATTTTCAGCTCAAAACATCAGTATTTCCCTCATTAAAGAGCCAAACATGATCATAACATGAAGAGTTATACCTCGTTGAGTTCGTATTTAAATTCCCCGTCGAACTGTGTACCACACTCAAAAAGTGATTTTTTTTTGAGATTTTTCGTAAATTTTTATGATGATCAAAAAATGCGAAAACCGGTTTTTCCTGATTTGAGGCTCGAAATATCAGTATTTTGTCTATAACAAAGCCAATAATGGTCGGAAAATGGAATGTTATATGTCGTTGAGCTTGTTTTTCAATCTATTTTCAAAATATTGAAGTCCCATTCAAATCTGAAGAAAAAAATATTTTTTTAATTTTTCGAAAAAATGATGATGGTACCCCTTACAAAAAAGTGAAAATTCAGAAAAATTTTAATTTCCGAAAGTCAATTTTATACCCAGATAGAAAGTTTTCTGGGGTCGTTAGCTGCAAAAAAACGGATTCCTTTTGTTTGTGGCTCTTAATTTGACAAAGTTATAAGCATAACACTGGGGGAAAATATTACAAATTTTACTAAAAAGTCCGAATTTTGATGTATTGCCCAAAATATCAGTATTTTCCTCATTACAGAGCCAAAAGTAATCGTAGAATAGAATGTTATACCTCGTTGAGTACATACGAGGTGTGTTCAAAAAGTAAGGTGACTTTGTATTTTCAAGAAAAACTATTAATTTATTTATCAATATTTATGTTGTCCCCTTCAAAGTAATCCCCCTCAGATACAATACACTTATGCCAACGGTTTTTCCAATCCTCAAAGCACTTCCCATAAGCACTTTTCGGTATAGCCTTGAGCTCTTGCAGCGATGCAGTCTTTATCTCTTCAATCGTTGCAAATCTCCGTCCTTTCATAGGTCTCTTCAGTTTTGGGAACAAGAAAAAGTCACATGGGGCCAAATTCGGTGAATATGGTGGCTGAGGCATTATTGTGGTGTTGTTTTTGGCCAAAAATCTCTCACAAGCAAAGATGAGTGAGCAGGGGCATTATCGTGATGCAAAAGCCATGAATTGTTTTTCCACAATTCTGGACGTTTCTTTCGTATTGCTTCTCGCAAACGGCGCATAACTTCCAGATAATACTGTTTATTGACCGTACGACCATATGGTAAGAACTCCTGATGCACCACGCCATGGTAATCGAAGAAAACAGTGATCAAAACTTTGACATTTGATCGAACTTGGCGTGCTTTTTCGGTCTTTGCTCGCCTGGGCTCTTCCATTGGGACGATTGGGCTTTGGTTTCGATATCATAACCATATACCCATGATTCGTCACCAGTTATGACCCTTTTGAGTAAATCTGGGTCGTCGTTGACGTCATTCAACAGCTCTTGAGCGATGCTCATGCGACGGTTCTTTTGGTCAAAATTCAGCAATTTCGGAACAAACTTCGCTGACACACGACTCATACCCAAAACGTTTGAAAAAATTTCATGGCACGAGCCAAGCGATATACCAACATCTTCAGCAACTTCTCTGATAGTGATTCGACGATTTTCCAAAACAATTTTCGTCACTGCTTGAACGTTGTCATCAGTTGTTGACGTGCTTGGGCGTCCAGAGCGAGGCTGGTCATTGGCATCTTCCCGGCCATCTTGGAAGAGTTTGTACCACTTGTACACATTTTTTTTACTCAGAACAGTTTCACCGTATGCCACTGTCAACATTTCAAGTGTTTCAGAGCACTTAATTTTATTTTTTACACAAAATTTGATGCAAATCCTTTGATCCATATTTTTCGATAGCAAAAAATCGCCGAGCTCGCAAAATAACTTGTAACTTTACGCCTCTCACAACCAAACAAAAGAGGATGTTCCATTGAAACTTGGTACAGATGTTAGGGAAGAGTGTACCAATATAACAAAACAAAAAAATCGATAATCGAAAATATGTTGCCCGCGAAATTTGAAAAGTCACCTTACTTTTTGAACACACCTCGTACATACATACATATGATATACATAAATATGAGCGGTTTTAAATATTATTTACACTTACGTTTATATTATTACGTTATTCAATTAACAGTATTTTGGGTTTTTATTTACGTTTTGATTTATATAACATTATTTAACACATTGTTCAAACTGAATTTTATCCGATCGTTGTCACGTCGTTTTTGCTTCGCTTGAGCACGTCTTCTCTTCGCCAGATCTTCTCTCCCCCGTTTCCCGTGTCCTAGTTGCTTCTCTCGTCGTTTTCTACTTCTCTCGCTAAACTTTTCGTTTTTGCTTAATCGTGTCCGTCGTTTCTACTTCTTTCGCCAGATAGTCACTCATCGTCGCTTTGATCTTCTCCGTCTTCTTTTAACTTCTTTCGCTGGATGGCAACTCATCGTCGCTTTAATCGCCTTCATCGCCCTTTTACTTCTTTCGCCAGATGGTCGTCGTCGTTACTCTGATCTTCTCCATCGCCTTTTTTCTTCTTCCGTCAGATGGCCATTCGTCGATAGCTTTTATCAATATCTCTTCGTTCTTGGTATTTCGTTGTCTAGGGATTTTGTATGTTTTTGGAAGGATATTATATTAACCATAAAATTATTTTTAAACAATATTATGGTCTTAATTTAATTTGGTAATGGAAAACTTTTATTGAGAGTTTTCTTTCCAATATAAATTTGCCTAAAAGCAATAATATCAATAATAATTTGTATGAAAATAAGAAATTAAGAAATTAAAATGAAGAAAATAGAGTTAGATAACCAATTTTAAAATATAAAGTTCAGAATACATATAGAAAATACGAATTATTTATAAAGTATAATGAAGTAATGTTGAAGGTTATGAAACTTAGAACGTAAGAACCTCTTCTCCTTTTCCTAATAAAAAAAAAATATTTTTAAATGGTTAACTGTTTTTTTTTTCTCTGCTCTTAAGCAGCAGCAGCAGCATTTGCAAATATCTCAATTGAAAATGCCTTGCTACGTGAAAACTTCCACCTGATGTCTGGCCCAATTTTCGAGTATGGCTATGTGTGTGTATGTGTGTGTATGTCTGTGGGCCTAAATGTTGACCGGGCTGCTTTTATGAGGCTCTTCTAAATCAATTTGACAGGGATGCGGATGGCGAATAGAGCATGCCAGGAACTCATCAAGACCGCAACGAGGTCCTCTTCAAAGCGATTAAACGTGGAGCGTTTTGCGTTAGTCAACATAGTTTGACATTCCAAATTAATGAGCACTTAAGCGCACGCATAACGCATTTATTTTGGCTGAGAGGGTATGGCTG